TGGAAAACTTTAAGGAGAATGGGTATTAGGTCTTCACTAAATGTTTGATTAAAATTTTTATTTATAACCAATTCAATTTCTTTGCTGGTAATTGGTCTGTTCAGATTTTCTGTTTTTTTCTGGGTCAGCCTTAGAAGGTTGTATTTTTCTAGAACGTTGTCCATTTCCTCTAGGTTATACAGTTTGTTAGTATTTAATCCTTCATAGTATTCTCTCATAATTCTTTGTATTTCTGTGGTGTCCATAATGATTTTTCCTTTCTCATTTCTGATTCTGTTTATGTGTATAGACTCTCATTTTTTCTTGTTAAGTCTGACTAGGTGTTTGTCTGTTTTGTTAATTTTCTCAAAGAACCAGCTCTTGCTTTCATTGATTCTTTCTATTGTTTTATTCTTCTCAATTTTATTTACTTCTGCTCTAATCTTTATTATGTCCCTCCTTCTACTGACTTTGGACCTCATTTATTCTTCTTTTTCTAGTTTTGTTAATTGTGAGTTTAGACTGTTCATTTGGGATTGTTCTTCTTTCCTGTGGTAGGCCTGTACTGCAATATACTTGCCTCTTAGCACAGCCATTGCTGCGTCCCACAGATATTGCAGTGTTGAGTTATTGTTGCCATTTGTCTCCATATATTGCTGTTTTTATTTGGTCATTGATCCATTGATTATTTAGGAGCATGTTATTAAGCCTCCATGTGTTTGTGGGCTTTTTCATTTTCTTTGTGTAATTTATTTCTAGTTTCATACCTTTGCAATCTGAGAAGCTGGTGGCTACAATTTCAATGTTTTTTAATTTACTGAGGCTCTTTTTGTGGCCTAGTATATGATCCATTCTTGAAAATGTTCCATGTGCACTTGAGAAGAATGTGTATCCTGTAGCTTTTGGATGGAGTGTTCTGTAGATGTCCATTAGGTCCATCTGTTCTAGTATGTTGTTCAGTGCCCCTGTCTCTTTACTTATTTTCTGTCTGGTTGATCTGTCCTTTGGAGTGAGTGGTGTGTTCGAGTCTCCTAAAATGAATGCATTGCATTCTATTTCCCCCTTTAATTCTGTTATTATTTGTTTCACATATGCAGGTGGTCCTGTGTTGAGTACATAGATATTTTTTTATTTTGTTATCATTAATATACAAGTACAGGAGCAACATTGTAGTTACTAGACTCCTCCCCTTTATCCCCCCCCACATACCCCATTACAATCACTATCCATCAACATAGTAAGATGCTATAGAATCACTACTTGTCTTCTCTGAGCTATCCTGCCTTCCCCGTGCTCCCCCACTATATTATGTGTGTGAATTGTAATGCCCCTTATTCCCCTTCTCCCTTCCTTTTCACACCCACCCCCAGTCCCTTTCCCGTTGGCAACTCTTGGTCCATTCTTGGATTCTGTGAGTCTGCTGCTGTTTTGTTCCTTCAGTTTTTGCTTTGTTCTTATGCTCCACAGATGAGTGAAATCACTTGGTACTTGTCTTTCTCTGCCTGGCTTATTTTACTGAGCATAATACCCTCTAGCTCCATCCATGTTGTTGCAAATGGTAGGATTTGTTTTCTTCTTATGGCTGAATGACATTTATATCCTCTTGTTGGACTGACCCCTGTATCATTATGTAATGTCCTTCTTTGTCTCGTGTTACTTTCTTTGTTTTGAAGTCTACTTTGTCTGATACAAGTACTGCAACTCCTGTTTTTTTCTACCTATTAGTTGCATTAAGTATCTTTTTCCATCCCTTTACTTTCAGTCTGTGTATGTTTTTGGGTTTCAAGTGAGTCTCTTGTAGGCAGCATATAGATGGGTCTTGTTATTTTATCCATTCACTGACTCTATGTCTTTTGATTGATTCATTCAGACCATTTACATTTAGGGTGACTATCAATAAGTATGTACTTATTGCCATTGCAGGCTTTAGATTCATGGTTACCAAAGGTTCAAGGGTAATTCCCTTACTATCTAACAGTCTAATTTAACTCACTTAGTATGCTATTATAAACACAAACTAAAGGTTCTTTTTTTTTTCCTCCTTTTTCTTCCTCCTCCATTCTTTATATATTACGTATCATATTCTGTACTCATTGTCTGTCCCTTGGTTGACTTTGGGGTTGATTTGATTTTGCATCTGCTTAGTAATTAATTGTTCTACTTTCTTTGCTGTGGTTTTATTTCCTCTGGTGACAGCTATTTAGCCTTAGGAATACCTCCATCTATAGCAGTCCCTCCAAAATACACTGTAGAGGTGGTTTGTGGGAGGTAAATTCTCTCATCTTTTGCTTATCTGAAAATTGTTTAATCCCTCCTTCAAATTTAAATGATAATTTTGCCGGGTACCTTCATGCATTTTTTAAATTGGGCTGTCCTGTAGTGACTGACTTGTAGGACCTCTTTTTATATTCTGGATGTTAACCCTTTATCATATATGATTTGCAAATCATATATCACATTCCTCAGGCTGCCTTTTCACTCTATTGTGATAGTATCTTTTGATGCACAAATTGATTATTTTTACAGTTCCAGTGGCAGCCTCTAAAACATTTTGTAAGCTTTTATCTCAGAGATTCCTTGGGCATAATGAACAAGCAAAGTTCATACTTGGGTTCCAAGATTTGAGTTTGGAGGACCTAGACCTTACAAGTAGGAAAGGCTGATTGCCTAGAGAATGCTTGATATGCGGGTTATCTGCCTTGACCCTTGAAGTAGGCAGTATTCCTGTGTTATTTATGAAGAAGCTAAAGCGGACCCAGCAGCAGAGTTGCCAGGACTCTTGGAAGGTGAGTCACATTTCAAAACACTTCTGTTTCCCCAAAAGGAAACTGGAAGTGACCACGCCTGTGCGGTCATAAATGTGGTGGTAAATGAGACCCAGGGAGCCATGTAATGTGAACGGGGAGGCAGAGAGGAGTTAGAGGCCCACTCCTGGGCCAGGCCTCTTACAGGCCTCCATATCCCCAAGGGGTTTCATATCATCTTTGTTAGACCTTCCAGAACTTTAGGCATAGGTACTCCTATTCACAGTCTACCATGTTACCTTGGGGTCACTGGGCTTGGAATTGAAAGCTTTTGAAATCTGCTATCATGTGATCCAGCAATTCCATTTCTGTATGAAAAGTAGGGTCTCAAAGAAATATTTGTACACCCAGTTTCATAGCAGCATTATTCACAGTAGCCAAGAGAGGTAATCAACACATGTCCATTGACAGATGAATGGATAAGCAAAATGTGGTATATACATTTAATAAAGTATTATTCAGCCTTAATAAGGAAGGAAATTCTGGCACATAAAGTGAAATAAGCCAGTCAATAAAAATTGAAATCAACCCTACCATTGAATAGCTTGAGCCACTGGGCCAGACCCTTTACATGGCTTATAATGTCACTTTGTAAGAGGTGAATGAGAACAGCAAGGTCAAAGCTTACAAAAGCCCCTACCAAACCCAGAGTCTGTGCAGAATAGGGTTTCAATAAATGCGGGTTAAGTCTGAGGAGAATGTGAGACCCACGGAGGAGAAATGACTTTCAATGGGTCCGGCCTTCAAGAAGAACTTAGAAGCAAGCAAACTATGTGCTCTCTGTCTATTCTTTCATTTTCACTGCAACCATGGCTATTCTCATTTTTAGGTTGTAGAAACAGGCTTAGCAAGATTAAGAATTTAACCAAACTCACACAGTTAAAAACCTCAGATTTGTACACAGTGTAGTTTCCAAGGACCAGATCCCCATACCGAACTTTTTAAAAAACATACAGAAAAGTTGAATGATTCAATACACACCCACATATCCTTCCCTGGGTTCAACAACTGTTAACATTGCCACATTACTTTGGCACACTTCCTATAAATGTATACATATTCCCAACAACTTGGAAGTGAGATACAGACATCATAATCTTTCACCCCTGTTATGGGATGAACATTTGTGTCCCCTGAAAATTCACATGTTGAAGCCCTAACTTCCCATGTAATGATACTCAGAGATGCATCTTTGGAAGGTTATTAGGGTGAGATAAGGTCATGGGGGTGGGGTGCTCATAATGGGCTCAGTATCCTTACAAGAGACACCAGAGAGCTCCCGCTGTCTGTCCCTCTCCTTTTGTGCACATACCAAGGGCAGACCATGTAAGGACACAGTGAGACCACTGTCTGCAAGCCGTGGAGAGGACTCTCAGCAGAACCCAGCCATACTGGCACCCTGATCTTCTGGCCTCCTTAATCGTGAGAAATTGAATTCTGTTATTTAACCCCCCAGAGTATGGTATTTTGTTATGGCAGCCTGTGCAGACTAAGGCAACCCCAAAATACCATCCTGCACATCTGCTAAGAATAAAGACATTCTCTTATCACCCAAGAAAACTAGCAATAGCTCCATAATATCTAATATCCTATCCAAAGTCAGATTTTTCCCAGTTGTCCCAATAATGTTTTTTTATAGCTGCTTTTAAAATTTTCAGCCACAATCCAGGCAAGGTCCACACATTATATTTAACATCTTTTAATCTAGAGTAGTCTCCTTTGCTCCCCACTCCCCATCACTGACACTTTTGAAGGGCCCAGGTCACTTGTCTTATAAAATGGGCCACTTTCTAGATTTGTCTGATGTTCGCTTGTGTCTAAAATCAGATACAGTATTGTTTGGCAAGAAATCCACATAGGAAATGCTGCCTACACTGCGTCATTATTAAGAGGAAACGCAAACACAGGCTTAAGGTGAATGTGGTACTAGGGACCTGCTTTTCACTTCTACATAAAATAAAAGTCACTAGGCTTACAGCTGAGCGTCTTTTCTTCTCACCAGCAAGGTGAGCGGCTCTCAGGACCTGCAGTTGAAGGTCCCTTACCCAAGATTCCCCCTGTGGCCCACGGCCGGCTCCTGCCCATCCTATCCCTGGCCCAGCACAGCACGGCGGTGTTTCTGCCGAACTGCCCCAAGCCCCGCCCGCCCAGCAGGCGGAACCGTGTGTCTGGCGCGCTGTTCTACGTCGCCCGCCCGGACTCTAAATCCCGGAGCGCCGGGTGCACGAGGACGCTGTTCTGCGTCGGCTTCCGGGAGCACGCTGTTGTTCCTCCGCGACGGGCTGGGCCACCGGTTCCGCGGCCGCCACCGGTTCCGTGAGTGCGCCAGATTCGTCTGTCAGCATGGGGATCCTGGAGAAGATCTCCGAGATTGAAAAGGAGATCGCTCGGACGCAGAAAAACAAGGGTGAGGGCCGGTCCAGCGGGGCCTTCCTTCTGCCCGCCTCAGTTTTCGCGTCTGTAAAATGGGGGAACAACTCCAGCTGTAGAATGCGGGCTCGAAGGCTGCGCGGAAGTGCTGGAGAAGTGACCGCGCCACTCACCGCCCCCGAGGCAGGCAGAGTCAGGCGGGATTCGGGTCCCACGCCCGGGCCTGATTGCAGACGACCCCTAAGATATCTGATCAGTGCCAGACCAGGCGACCCCGTAGAGAAACCCCAGGTCACAGCAGGCATCCAACCCAGAGAGAGACCAGGTTTGAACCCGGGTCTTCTCAGAGTGCCGAGAAGTCCGGGAGGAGACCTTTCACAGGTACAGCCTCACCCAGCAGCCCAGAGCCCCTAGGTGGAGTAGAGGCAATCAGGACTCTGTGGAGTCTGGAGTTCCTGGGTTTGAACCCCGCCTCCACCAAGTACCTGCTGTGAAAGCTCGGCAAGTCATTTCACCTCTTTGCACCGCAGTTGACCTTACTGATCTCATCTGCAAATGGGAATAATCCCATGTCCCATCTCTGCCCATAGCTAAACTAAACTAGACAGCGTTTGCAAAGCACTGGGCACATTGTGAGCACTCAGTATTTAAAGTAAACCCCCCAACATAGCATATAATAATGAAGCATCAAATCTGGACTTCAGATTGAATGGCTGGGGGAGCTCAGAGGAAAAAAACAGGAGAGAAGAAAGGTGCCACTCAAGAAGGCTTCCAGGAGGAGGTGGGGCTCAAGGTGGTTGCAGGGAGACTATTCCAGTGAGAGGCGATGCTGAGGGAAAGCACGGGTCGTCGAGGTGGAAATGGTGTGTTCCTGAGACAGTGAGGAAAGCAATCTAGATCAGGAGGAGGGTCTGAATCAATGGGGGATGCTGTTGGCCAGTGTGGCTGAGGCTCAGTACCTAGCTGGTCCTGCCCTGGAATTGCAAGAGCAGGAAGAAGGGAACATTGGCCTTAGTGTCAGTCCTCTCTTGGCTCCAGTTAGTTCTGAAGGCTGAGGAGTTGGAGGGCTTCTTTCATTCATTCACTCTGCAAATCTTTACTGGGCCCTTACTAGTGCTAGGCACTGTGACTAAAGTTGTGCACACACAGCAGGCACATCCGTATCTTCATGGAGCTGATCTTCCAGTGGGCACTCAGTAAACTGGTAGCCAAATAAACAAGATAAATTCAGCCAGCGATAAATGCTGTGAAGACAATCCAGGGTGATATAACAACAGTGTCAGGAGTGGAGCTGGTCTCCTAAGGTGGAATAATCAGAGGAAACCACCATGAGGTGGGGACATTTGAACTGAGACCAGAATAAGAAGAAAGAACCAGCCATGCAAAGATCTGGGGGGAAACTGATCCCGGCAGAGGGAGCAGCTGGCGCAAAGGTCTGAGGCAGGAATAAATTTGGCTTATTCAAGGATCTGAGGATTCAGGACTGGAGTGCAGTGATGGGAAAGGAGAGGGCCAATCGGTTATGGCCTTGTAGGTCATGAGAAGGAGTCTGAGTCGTTTTCTAAGGGCAGTGGGAGCTAGTGGAGGGGGTTAAGCAGGGGAGAGACATAGTCCAATTTCTGTTTTAAAAGTTCCCTCTGGCTGCCCTGTGGAGTATCATCTACAAGGATCAAGGAAAGATGGGGGGCTAGATATACTGCCCCTCTGGCAGTAGTAGAGAGGATATAAGGGTGATTAAAGGATTAAGACATAGTCCTTCCCTTCAGAAATGCTCAGAATCTTATGAGATGAGATGATAAGAAGGATCATGTGTACCTGTCTGCCGCTGAACACGTTCTTGACCATTTCTTGTTGCCATCAGTTCACCCATTCACTTGCTAAAACATTTCCAAAGCACCCATCTGTACCGTGCCTGTGTTACCGAAAGCTGGGGATCCTGCCCTGTGGGAGTGACGGAAGTTAAGAAGCAAGATAGTTTCAGATAGTGTAAGAGCTGTGAAGACAATAAACAGGATCATGAGTCAAAGAGGGACCTGGGGAGGAGTGGGAGTTACTGTGGCTAATAATAATAACCAGGTTTTATTGGGCGCTTACTATGTGCTAGTTGTTATTCGTAGTGCTCTCTTTATGCCAACAGAAATCCAAAGAAGTAGTTTTACTGTTAACATCCATATTTGTGGGTGGAGAAACTGATGCGAGAAGATAAAGTTTTCTAAAGTAAAATGGCCATTAATGAATTCCAAACAGGCTCTTAACCTTTGTGTGACATTTCTCCCGGAGGCCAGGTGGGGAGGCCTCTGTTGAAGCAGTGATGTTTGAGCTGAGCTTCAAATTTTGAGAAGGAGCCAGCCTTCTAGCTTGGAAGAAAAGACTGGAAGAACAGCAGGTGCAAAGGTCCTAAGGCCAGAATGGGGTTGGCATTTCTGAAGAAACAGAAAGCCACTGTGGCTGGGATGTAGTGAATAGAAGGGAGAGTGGTAGGAGATGTTGGAGTAGCAGCCAGGGACCAGGTTGCCTAACCACAGCCCCCTTTGCTGTCCTAAAATGTAGCTCCCAATCAATAGTGTCACTTTTGTATACACAGAACTTTGAAAAAATCCATATGATGCCCTAATAGTATATAGGAGGAGAAAAAGGAAAGTAACTTATAATTAAAATAGTGTTTATTTCAATATGTAAATGTTGGCCACAGCCAAGATATGAAGTTACAATGAAGTAGTGAGAGGTTTGCCCTTCTAGGTACCCATAGGATCACTGGACACATGGCAGCTACTACGCAGACTACTGCTGGTGACTCAGATACCCTTCAAGAGGCATTACTGTTGGCAGCCTGGGATCCCAAAATGGTGTGTACCTCTAGATAGAGTTTCAAACAAAACATGCTAGAGCCTTCCCTTGACATAGACAGTAGTTGCATTACTGGAAATTTCAGCATTTATTAACACGGTAAAAAAATGCTCTTATATGTGAAACAGTTAGGCTGTAGGCCCCAGTTATTCTAACCCAGGTCCTGCCTCTTTCGATGTCATCAGGGTGTGAAGTCACATGGGGCTCGGGGCAGTTCTTGGCTGTGTTGTACTGATTCACACCTTGTGGGGCAGCTGGCTTCCCTCACCCCTGCCTGATAATTGTCAACCAGGACCTCCTCACAATGACAACAGAAAATGTCCCTCAGAATGCCCCAGGGCATGGTGCCCCCGTGGAGAACAACTGACCTGGGGTCATGAGGTCTCAGCAAGGACACTAGCCTTTATTCTACGTTAAGTGAGAAGCCGAGTGGGCACTTAAAGCAGAGGGGTGTTCTTTCTTGAGCTCTTTAACAATGGTTGCTGCCTGGTTCTGATGTTCCCTGAGCAGCGTCTGGTGGTGTGGGGGGCCCACCTGGCCCATCAGGTTCGGATGCCCCAGACACTTACCTTCAGCCTTTCTTTATGTCCTTCAGCCACTGAGTATCACCTGGGCTTGCTGAAAGCAAAACTCGCCAAGTACCGGGCCCAGCTCCTGGAACCGTCCAAATCAGCCTCATCCAAAGGAGAAGGTTTCGATGTCATGAAGTCGGGCGATGCCCGTGTAGCACTGATTGGATTTCCCTCTGTGGGTAAGGTCAGTGATGGTCAGTGTGGGCCTTGGGGAGGAAGGCAGGACGTCTCTTTTACAACATGACTGCGCTTCCTCTCACCACCTTTCTGAATTAGCTCCAGGGCCCGAGAAGACCCAGCTCCCCCGGGATCAGGTCCCTCCCCTTTATATTCTAACATGGTGAATGTTGTTACCGCTCTCCACTTGTCTCCAACTTGTCCCTCCTGCAGACATTCACAGGGCACAGCACATGCCAGGCACCGGACATACAGTGAGAATGGGACAGAGCTGTGTTCCTGCCCACAGAACTCCCACTCTCAGGGAAGGGATGTGAGCAGACAGTGAGAGATCAGCTGTATGATGTGGCTTGAAGGAAAAAGTGACGTGGGAGCCTCTGCAGTTTTCTAGAAAGTTTCTTCTGTAAGCTTCCTCGTATAAAATCCATGTTTAATTTTTATTGGGGAAATAAGATAAATATTGCAGGGTTTGATCCGAAAAGGGCCTGAGCTGACTGGCTCTTTTTTAAAATAAACCTTTACATTTTAGAATAGTCTTGAAATCACAATATAATACAGAGAGTTTCCGTGTATCCCCACCCAGCTTCCTCTACTGTTACCACCTTATACACTAGTACAGTACACTCATCAAAACTAATGCATCAGTATTGATCTGTGATTATTCACCAAAGTTCATTCTGTATTCATATTTCCTTAGTTTTTCCCTAATGTCCCCTTCTGTCCAAGAATCCCACCCAGGATGCCACAGGACATCCAGTTGTTAGGTCTCCTTAGGGTCTTCTAGACTGTGACCATTTTTTAGGCTTGCCTTGATTGGAAGACTTTGATAGTTTTGAGAAGTGCTGGTCAGGCATTTTGCAGAAAGTCACTCTATTGGGGTTTGTGTTTTTCTTGTGGTTAGAATGGGGCGCTGAGTTTGGGTCATAGAACGCAGAGGTGAAGGGCCATTTTCCTCACATCATATCACAGGTACATACTGTCAGCATGACTTATCCCTGTTGTGTTGGCCTTGGTCACTGGCTGGGGCAGTGTCTGTCAGGTTTCCCCACTGTAAAGTCACTGTTTTCCTCTCCTGTCCACACTGTCTTCTTAGGAAAGTCGCCATGCAGCACACACCTAAGGAGTGGGGAGCTAGTGCCACCTCCTTCAGCAGATACTAGCCACACAATTGTTGGAATTTCTGCACAGATTTTCTTCTCCCCATTTATTTTATTTTATCATGTATTCGTAGCAGCATGGACCTATGGAAATGTACTTAATACTTTGGGTTCTAATCCCAAACTGTGTTATTTTGTTACTCAGGTAAAAAAAAATTTGGAGAAAATTCATTTGGCTTCTTTGACATACCCTCATTATATTTTTTCAGCACTTTCTTACTTTCTGGTACCACAAGATGCATCAAGTTCATCTTCTATATTCCCCATCCCAATCCTAGAATCAGCCATTTTTCCAAGGAGCCTTGGTTTCTTTTATTGGAGAGTGATATCTGGAAGCCAAGATCTGGCTGCTGACCTACTTTGTAACAATCACTCTGGCTTTTGTGTGGAAGGGTGGAAGTCCAGGGAGGGGTGGAAGCAGGGAGGCCAGTGAAGAGTCTGCTCAGAAATAGTCCAGGTGAGCAACAACCAGGTGGCCTGGACCAGGGGCTGGAAGAGTGGCTTCTAAATCAGTTCAACTAAATGAAGGGATTGAGCCTGTTGCTCTGGGCCACTCACAGGGAAGCTGATAACAGCTGCTACTTGGTGAGTGTTTGCTGTAGGCCAGGGAGCATACGCTGCGTTTTACAAGTGTTTTGTTTTATGTGTTTTCCCTTCTGCTTGTACAGGGGGTGGGGACTGATCTGCTCTCTGACTCTACATCCACACCCACAACCAGGAAAATGGGGTAGTACCTACGTTTGCCACTGGCATGTCCATTTCACTGTGGCTATCTGCCATGTTTATATATTAGGTCACCTCACCCCCTGAACTGCTGCCTAGACTTGGTTGTGTCGTCAGCAGCAGTTTGTTCTTTCCCTCCTTGCCATGGTAGCTAGGTTGTCCCCAGGCTTTGGCTTGACCTCACAGTGCTGTAGTGACTGTCCTGCCTGGGTGCTTACACACCAGAGCAGGGGTTTCTACAGGAGCATCCCTAGAAGTCAGCACAGTGCCTCAGGGGCTGTAGATTTTTAAAATGGCCACCAACACTGCCAGTCACCCTCCAAAAAAGTTCGCTAGCTGACTCCACTGGGGCGCAGTCAGTGTCTGGTCATATACCCACTACCTGATGCTCTGTCTGAGCTGGCTGTGTGCTGGGGCGGGTGCACATTGGAGTACTACCAGGCTGTACTTCGAAATCTGCAGAATTCCTGCCTGCATACATTTAAATGCTTCCTAATCTTGAGGAACACTCCAGTCCCCATCAGATCAGTACCCAGCTGTGTGCATTTCCTTCTGATCCTCCACTGGCTTGAGGTCAGGAAATGCAGTGTCCTTTTAGTTCTCTGAGGCAGCTAGGATGAGGGTGGGAAGTTGCCGGTAGGCAGAAGTTACACACTAGAGAATAGCCACTGGCCCCTGCAGCTCCTGCTTCCTGAGCCATTTGCAGCTACCTTTGTCAACCCCTTCAAACCTTCCACCCTCACACAGTTTCCAGATCCATGGCCAGAACTCTGTGACTCCTGGCCAAGCCACAGCCTGTTCCCACTGGGACCCAAAGCACAGGTGTTCCCACCCAGAGCACAGGTGTTCCCACCCAGAGCCTTTCCGGCTCACCCCGCCTTCCCCCTGGCTCCCTCCGCCATCTGGCTCTGTGTCGGACAGGAATGTCCGTGTATCCCTGCACATTTCCTTGTCCCTCGCTGGGGGACCAGCAACCTTGAGTGCTATGGGGCTGTTACCTGCTTAAAGTTTCCAGGGGGCCAGAGAGTCTGCAGGCTTCTGTGGAGCAAGGGAAAGGCCCCTGATTTGGTTGGGGAGCCCACTTAGTAACCAGGTCCCTGTGTCTACCTGAGACAGGCCTTGCGGCCTCTGAGGAGCAGAGAGGCCCTCTGGCTGACCTTCCCTGAGTGGGGCCGAAGGTGACTTTCCCAGCTCTTCTTTTCACACCCACCCAAGTCACCGAGCCAACCGTGAGGAGGGGATCACCCTGCTGCTTGTGCCTGGCAGGCTCCCAGCCCATGGAAATTCTCCACAGGGGCCGGGACAAGGCTTCTCATGGCAGTGACCTCCTTTTTCTCCTAGTCCACCTTCCTGAGTCTGATGACCTCCACAGCCAGTGAAGCTGCGTCCTATGAATTCACGACCCTGACGTGTATTCCTGGGGTCATCGAGGTGAGTCAGAGCCCAGAAAGGGGAAGGACGCACACTTGCATTTGTGACTGTATATGTACATCAGGCGTGGGTGTCCTGTGTAGGGGAGGCTCCGAGCTGAGCTGCTGTGCCCTCAAGCACTGGCCCCTGTGGGGGTTCTGACAGCTGGGACCCCAGAGAAGCCAGTCCTGGAATCCTAACTGGCCCCAGGGTCAGACCAGCGTGCAGCAGCTCCCCCTGGTGCCCCTCTGTGCTCCGCGGCCCTGCACCACCCCAGCTCAGGTCGCTTACTTCTGGCTGGCTGGATCCCTCTGTTTCCCATGAAGCGTTGGAACACTGGGCAACTGGGGCCCTGTGGCCTTAAGCCTCCCCAAGTGAAGTGTTTTATTTGTCAAGAGCTGTTACCATCAGTGATGAGTGTTGTGCAATTGTAAAAACTCATAAGTGCCTCCCAGGTAGCTCCTCAGCTTGCAGGATGTGGCCTGTGCTCTGACATGGCTCTGGACGCTGACGCCTGGTCTCCCACAGCCCCAGAGCTACAAGCTCGTGTAGGTGTCCTGGGGTTTGGCTGGCCCATCCCAGCAGTGGCTCACCTTGCCTTCCCTTCTCTTCTACATCCTAGTACAAAGGTGCCAACATCCAGCTCCTGGACCTTCCTGGAATTATTGAAGGCGCAGCACAAGGTGGGAGGCAGGAACAGGCGGGTGGGAGGCAGGGTGGATCTCAGTCCCCACCACCCCTGCCACACAAAGTTCGACTATTGGCCTCACTGATAAAATTGGGTGTGGCTGCAGAGGGTGGCTATTGGGTAGGGGTAGGCCCGTGGCTCTTCATGCTGCAGGGTGCTCTGTACTTAAGGGACTCTGGGCTCCTACAGCCCTGGGAGGCCCCATCTTAAAGCCAAGGCAACCTGAGGCCCAGTGAGGTGAAGTGACTTGCCCAAGGTTGCGTGGCTCACCAGACAGGGATCCTCCAGGCTGTGGTATCCTCATTGCCACTCCATGGCTCCACCATGCCACTAGACACCTGTTGGCTGGCTGGTTTAGACCATGCTGCTAGTCCAGGAGCCAAGTCCTTTGTCATTTTGTTTTGTTTTGTTTAAGATGGGGACATGCTATCTGGCTTCTGGTGGCAGGTGGCTGCCCACATCATTTGTAGAGATGGTTACCAGCTAATGGTTATCCAGCTCTTGCTGAGTGCCAGGCTCTGCACTGGCCAGCATGTGACTTAGTATCATCATTTCCCTTTCATAGCCAGGAGGAGCCTTGCGGACAGAGAGGTAAAGGGTCTGCCTTAAACACCTGTTCACCTGTTAAGTAGCAGAGCTAGGGTTAGGGCTCTCCTCCCTGACTCTAGAGCCCCATCCTGGCTAGGCAGTGGGCCTCCTGGGGGTTTAGGGGCCTTCTCTGTTCTGCAGTCTCCCATGCCCCACCACCCTTATCAGGGCAAGGTCCTACCCACTTGAATTGAGGCAGTGGGAAGTGGTGATGGTTCCCCAGGAAACTGCCATCCCAGCAGCCAGCATGTTGGGGTCTGGAGGTAATCTGGCCTCTGTGGGGAAATTTACCAGCTAGAGCCAGGGGGCAGGTGGCCCTTGGAGATCACCTGGCCTAACCCCCTCCTCAGGAGAAGGAGGCAGGTCATGGTTGAAACCCACACTACCCAGATCCTGGTGCATGACCTTCGTCCCTTGACCACGTGACCTTGGCAAGGTGCCTGGCTTCTCTGGTCGCCTGTTTGTCAGTTCCCAAAGCAACCCCTCCCATGTTGTCTCGTGACCCTTTATGCAGCCCTATGTGGGAGGGTTCTGTCACTCCATTTTCCAGAAATGGCAGACAAGTTCAGGTTCTGTGACTGAGTATCTCTGAGCCAGGTCTCAGCTTTCACATCTGTGAAATAGGTGTGATAACGCTGATACAGGATAGTTTTGAGGATTATGTGAGGAAATGTTCATAAAACACTTGGTGTGGGGCCTTCTGCGCAGTAGAGGCAGGGGGAGGGCGTTACTTCTCTTGAGGTGGTAATATTGGATTTCCTTCTAAAACAAGTCTCCATGAGTAAAACAGGATGTGAACTAAAAAATACTAAGGAATCACAGCCTGCAGGTTGGCATGTGGCAGAGACCCTGGTGAGTCTGTAAAGCTTAGGTGTGTAGGGTGCTGTGGGCTGGGTGGGAGTTCTGCCCGTGTCGCTGTATAACCACATCCTTTCCACCTGTCCAGGGAAAGGCCGTGGCCGGCAGGTGATTGCTGTGGCGCGCACAGCTGACGTCGTTGTCATGATGCTGGATGCCACCAGGGGGGACGTTCAAAGGTCCGCAGGGTGGGGTGGGCCAACATGTCAGGGGAAGCCTCTGGGGGTGGCAGTGGCGCCCCAGGGCTCCAGCTGATGTATCCTTGAGCTCATAATGGGTGGTTTACAGGGCATTTGCCCCTCTCACATATGGGAGCAGGGACAGGATTGCCCACAGGCCAAGCCCAGTGCACTCAGTGTGGCGTGTCCTCTCCAAGCATCTAGTGGAGATGTCTGGTGGCTGGGATGTGGTCTGCCAGCTAAAGCCTGTGATAGAAGCTTCTGACAGCACAGGCTGTCCTCCCTCTGGCTCCTGCCTTCAGAAGCCTGGGTCCCCCATCTCAGCCCAGAACCCACCAGAAGCCCAGTTCCAAGCAACAGAAGCCTGTTCATGCCCTGGTCTGCCAGCTGAGGAGCATACCAGGCCTGCCTCTCCATGCTGACCACAGACCCATCTGGTCTCCCATTGGACTGGGCAGAGGGTCCAGACACTCCTTAGCAGCTTTGGGTTGTCGGGAAAGAACGTTCAGGGTCACTGGGCTGGTAGAGTGGGGCAGTGGTCTCCTTCTGGGTGGAGAGGGGCCTGCTGTGTGACATGGAGGCTGCATAGCCAGCCTCTGGGCACCCATCAAGGCTCGCGGGGGCTCTGCCCAGGTCTCTGCTGGAGAAGGAGCTGGAGTCGGTGGGCATCCGCCTCAACAAGCACAAGCCCAACATCTATTTCAAGGTGAGGCTCCTCACTTGTGGGCCAGGGCACAGTCAGGTTTGGGACTGCCCCACTGGCAGCAGAGGTGCACGGGGTAATGGCAGCTGCCCCTTTGCCAGCAGCTCTCCTCCCTTCCCTCTCATCCAGCCCAAGAAAGGAGGTGGCATCTCCTTTAACTCCACAGTCACGCTAACCCAGTGCTCAGAAAAGCTGGTGCAGCTGATCCTGCACGAGTACAGTATCCTTCCCAAAGAACAGTGAGGAAGGGCCTGTAACCTCAGGGTGGGGAGGGGCAGCTGAGACAGGCCCCCAGGCCCCCGGGGTCCATCTGACCAGTCTCCAGGGAATCTGTGACCAGTGGACAGGAGGCACTGCTTGTCCCCTTTGCCTGCATGCTCACCACCTCAGGCTGGCCAGGCTGCAGTGACACACTCAGCAGTGGCTTCCTGGCTCCTTGCCGGATACTCGACACTGGTGGCTAGTCCCATCTGGAAGGAAGATAAAGTGGCAAAGGAAACCCCCCTGAGGATGGGGGTTCCTGGCCCAAAGAGGCCTCAGGGAGCACCAAGGGCCTGTGTGCACACCACTCAAGTATCACTGGGAGCTGGGTGGGTCCCAGGGCCCCAGGAGCAGAGTTGAAGTCAGCAGAGGGAGGACTCACAGTGGTCCGGCTGTCTGGGGAGGTACCCCGGTTGTTGGCCACTGCACGTCTGCCAGCAGAAGCAGATGCCCTGCAGGAGAGCTCTGCTGGGGGAATTGGGTCAGGCCAGTGCTTCAGACTGCCTGGCACTGAAACCTGGGCCACTGAGGTGCTTTGGGGATTCTGGAAGATATGGCTTTTTCTCACCTAACAGTGGAGATTTAAACCATTGATTGAAACTTTTACATACTGTGGTTCCTTTAAAAAACATGAGGGAGCTCTCCAAACTATAAAATCTTATAAAACCTCAGAAGTACATACCTCCAAGTTCCCTTTCAGCAGCATAATTCCTGAGGGCTGTTTAGTTCCTCCTGCGAGGGGTGTGAGGGGCTGCTGGCACACAAGTTGCCCTTAATCTGAGCCCCTCAGAGATCTTCAATGCAGAAGTGCTCTTCCGAGAAGACTGCTCCCCAGATGAGTTCATCGATGTGATCGTTGGCAACCGGGTGTACATGCCCTGCTTGTATGTAAGTGGTGCCAGCCCCCCGGGTGCCTGTGTGAGGGGAGCCTCACTCCAGGCTGACCCAGATGGAGATGGGCTTCTGAGAGGCACAGAACCAGCTGCTGCCATCTCTTCCTGCCTCCCCGCTACCCCAGTGCTGCAGGAGTCTTGCAGACACATCTGACTTGACATAGGTTTTCTAGCCCCACCCCAGGAGCCTTCAGCCTCTCCCCATCCTTGGGACAACAGCAGGAGGGGGGACCACCAGCATCAGCCCATCCTCTCTTGCTGAGGCACCCAGAGGGGGAACCTGTGGGCTGGGCTGTGGCTCTCTGGGGCCCTTTTCCTATACCACTTTGTTCCTGTCCTCAACACCTTTTCAATCCCAGGTTTATAACAAAATTGACCAGATCTCAATGGAAGAAGTGGACCGCCTGGCCCGGAAACCCAACAGTGTGGTCATCAGGTGAGGCTCCTGGCATCCTGCTGCCCTGCTGTCCTCTGTGTGTGAGCCTGCCTGCCAGGCTCCCAGGCAACACCTCTACACAGTTTAGGGCAGGGGAGACGGCCTGGTAGCTGCTGGTGACTGTGCCCAGTCCCATCCTGCCCATGCCAATTCAGGAGTAAGTGGGGTGGGCTCTGGCTAGGGAAACAAGGATTTCATCCAGCAAGCTAAACTGGTTACAAGGCTTGTAGTTTAGTAGTGAACCACTGACAGCCCCCCACCTGACCCCAGAAAGGCCCAGGGTGTGATCCAGCTGCCCCTGATGCTCTGGAAGGTGTGGCTTCTGTCACTACCATGTGGGCAAGGCAACTGAACTCCTTGGGCAGGCGGGGCCATCCTTGGCCACCCACTCCCTGCCCTTCTTTGAGGGGTGGGTCCTGGGAGGCACCTGTGCCCTGGCGGATAGCTGTCTCTTCACTACCCTCCCTTGCTGTGGGGCTCTTCTGGGGGCAGGCTGGCTCATGTGGTCCATTCTGCCAGCTCCCAGCTCAGGAGGCACTCTAGCTTTATGTTAGGCTTGGCTTAGAGAGAGCAGGGTGCTCAGGAACCGAGGCGGGGTGACAGGCACACATGCTGGGTGAATGCAAATGATGGACCCAAGCATAGGAACCATCTCCTGGGTGTTGCCAGCGTCCCAAGAGCAGCAGAGAGTGGGCACCCTTCTCGCAGGACAGCCTCAGGTCTCTACTGCTGCTGCATCCCAGGCTCCCTTCCAGGCCCTCCCAAGGGCATGGCTGTCCTGCTTATGTTCATGACATCTCGGTGGAGGTCGGGACACCGGCTCAAGTCGTACCACTCGAACGATTGAGCAGGGGCCGCCTCATCACTGTGATCCCTGCTGGGCTGCACTGGGCCACTTGGCAGCCACTGCCTCTTGTGAGGGTGAGCTCTGGATTGTCATCCTCTGCCCACGGTCCCCTTGCCAGTCTCCACCCATGAGGTGCCAGGAGGGAAACCCTACCCCCAGGTGTCAGAGATGCCATGTGCTCTCCCAGGGCACAGCTGTGATTCCCCCAGGAGAAATGGCTGAGCTCTGTCGAGTGGGACTGGTAACTTAATGCACTGGCAGCTAAAGTGTCAAGCTGCTATCAGGATTATGGGCTTGGCTACCCACAGGTGCTAGCTGGGCCACGCCATCTTTGGTGCCATTGTAAAGCCAGATGGAGGTTGTCTTTGGCAGCAGTGAGAAAGCAGAGACCCCTGGGCTCTGAGCCCCTAGGGCTCCTCTGACTCCCCGGCCACCTTGCCCCCGGCAGCTGCGGCATGAAGCTGAACCTGGACTCCTTGCTTGAGATGCTTTGGGAGTATTTGGCCCTGACCTGCATCTACACCAAGAAGAGAGGACGTGAGTCAGGTGGCATGGGCCCAAGAAACATGCTGAGCCTCACCCTCCTAGAGGGCTGTCAGGCTCTGTGTGACACCCACAGGGCCCAGCACCCCTGGCCAAGTTTGTCTTGTGCACATCTCAGCTCTTCTTCCATCTCTCAGAGCCGACACTGCCCCCTGCCCCAGGATGGTGGACACCTTGGCCTGAGCCCTTACAGTAAAGAATGCTGAGTTCTGGGGCTATGGGTCTTGAGGGTGCCCTAGGGGCCTGGGGTGGGAAGGGACAATGGGATAGCCACTATCTTGTGGTTCCCCCTTGGCTACAGCAGGAAGCCCCCACCTGGCCTCCCCTAGCAGGGGCAGGTCCCATGTCAGGACTTTAGGCAACTGAATACACAGGAGCCTTCCCCATCCCTGCCCACTATATGTACATGTCACACACCCTGCAGCCCAGCAGCTAAGTTCTGGCAGCTTGCATCGACCTTGACCTTGTGGCAAGGGAAGAGATGCCGCTGGCCCTGAGTGATCACAAGCCGTTGTCACGTCCTATTACTTCAGTGAAGATGCTCCACGTGGCTCATCTCAGTTGGTGCTCTCATGGCTGATGGGGTTTGCAGGCAGTCTGAGTCCTGGACATGGATATATTTCCATTTTCTGTATAAAGGTCAAGGTTGTAGAAGACTGCATGGGGATCTATAGGGAAGGTGTGCCGAATGGGGGTGGGGGACAGGCCAATGCGAGGGGCCAGAAGGGCCTCTGTTCCCTTATGGAAGGCCCAGCAGCGTGGACCCACAGCTGTGGCTGACCACCCCCCACCCCCAATCTCTACTGGTGCAGAGAGACCAGACTTCACAGATGCCATCATCCTCCGGAAAGGGGCCTCCGTGGAGCATGTGGTAAGTCGACCTGCCCAGATGAGGGGTTGGAGGCGCTTTGTCTCCTTGGAGGGGTTTGGCCTGCAGTTCTCCTGGCCCCCGGAGGACACTCACTGCAGTAGCGGAGTGGCCAAGGGCAGCTGTGGAGTTAGTTGTGGGGTTGTGTTCTGACCACCCTTCCTAGCTGCTGGCAAGCCTCCGTGCCACCCCTGTGAGATGGCGGTGGTGAGGGGCATCTCACAAGGTCAGGTGTGCGAGGCACTCAGCATGCTGCCTGGCGCTTGGTAGCTGCCCAGGAAGCAATGGTTATCACCTGCCACATCCCAGTGCCATAGGCACCTCAGGGCTACTGCTGTTTAGGCATCCGGTCAAGAAGAGCTATTACCTGTGACGTTTCTATATTGTCACTCCGAGCCATCTTCCCCAGTGCTGGCCTAAAGCTCGGAGTTGCCACCTCCTGCTCTTGGCCTCTGTTAGCTCCCTGTCCCGCATTCGGCCCCCAGTGTGGCCTGCCTCTCCCTGCTCCCCCATCCGGCCCCCAAGCCTGGGGATGGCTTTGAATGCTTCCTGTGCTCAACACATGTTCATTGAGTGTGACCTGTAGACCAGGCAGGGGCAGGGGTGCCCCCCAGGTGAGGGGCAGGGTATGCAGAGGCCTGGAGGTAGGGGGGCTCAGGGAGAGGGAGAGTGTGTCTGAAGCTTTGCTGGTGGCATGGGGTCACCCCAAGCCCTGAATGCACCATCTTTTACAAAAATGCGCTGGGCCCAAGAGCCTGGGCCGATGCTCCAGGCCACACTGCCCCCTCCTGGGCTCTTGTATTCGGAAGTTTTGTTTTCCTCTAGTGCCTTTCTTCTCAGGATTGGTATTGTAGACAGTGGTGGGTAGGCCTGCAGTCTGGCCTCATACATTCATTCATTCTCAAGCCCAGCCCGAGACCTCTGCTGGCTTAGGGCTGCTGCTAGCAAGCAGAGTAGGGCTGGGCCTTGAAGGCTTTCGTGCTTGGCAGAGGCCATGGAGACCCCCTTGGACCCCTTAGATCACAAGGAGCCCCACATGGAAGTCCCTGTTCTCATTTGTCTCAGAGCCTGTGACTGTTGTCAGAGCTGTTGACATGGTACCCACATATACTGACCCTCCCTGGGGTTAACCTGCACCTTCTGTGGGCACTTCCCTCAACCCTCTCAGGCCCTTGGCTGCTTGCCCAAGGGATATGGGGAGTCAGCCATGCCTGGGAAGAAAAGCAGGAGATAGCAATATGAGAATTGTATTCCAGGCAGTGGGAATAACAGATACAAAGTTCCAGAGGCTGGCAGTTTGCCATCAGCTGGCATGGAGGGTCAAAGGCAGCAGGTGCTAGACCCAAGGGTGAGGAGAGGCTTGGGGGTTGGGGGGTGCTTTAGAAGCTTTTCTCTAGAGCCTGGACTTTGTCCTAGGAGGTCTGTGCCTCAGTGGTTGCCCCCTCCCCACTCATCCTACACAGATGCTGCCCTCATAGAAGATCTACTGTCCCAGGTGCCATGAATATATATAAAGGCCTGCCCGGATGCTGACGGCAGGGACCCAGAGTAGATGAACCAGGTAGATAGTGGGGCCAGGTAGACCTGGGGTCACACCCTGACTCCCCAAAACTAGCTATTGGCCTCCCTGTGCCTCAGTTTCCTCATCTGGAGTACTTGGTACCCCAGGGTCTTTGTAATGCAGTCAGCTCAGGCCCTGGCCCATGTTCAGTGGGAGCTGACAAAGGTCTTGCCTTCAGAAGGGTCATGGGCCATAAGCCTCAGAGGCAGAGGACCTTACAGGGTTTCTCATGAGAGGCACATTGGAGTTTGATGAACAGAGAGCCTTCCCATCCCCAAACAGTATGTTTTCTCCCAGGAGAACCATAGAGCAAACTTGGTGGTAAATGGCTTCTTGTGATATGTTTGACTTAATGTGTGAGAGATACTAGAGCATGGTGGAGCCTGTGGCAAATGACAGTACACACCCCAGCTGTCTCCAGAGTGTGAGCACCAGCCCGGTGCTCCCCGTGCCCTCAGGACCCCGGGAGAATCCTTGTGATCGGGACTCTGCTTAGTAAACTTTCCCAGTAGGCTTCATCTTGTTGGACAAGCTGAAAAAAGGTAAACCCACTTGCTGACCTCTGAGCCATCAGATTTAATTTTCTGATCTAAAATCAGTGTTGGAATGCATTGGGTATCTCTGCTTGTCACTAGCAGCAGTGTCCCCTCTGCCAGGGTGGTTCTGTATATATAGTTGGGACATGTTTTTACAGACCCAGCATCCCCGCAGGAGCTGGGCTGAGGCATTTGGTCTCTGACTGGGCCTGTAAGGCTGTGGTCATGTGGGAGGAGAGGCAGCACTGTGGCCGCCTCTGGAGCTCACTGGCATGGCGCCTCCAGGGGCCCCTGTTCCTAGAGAAGAGCGGGCTGCCCTCTACATTCTCCTCCTCCCGGCCTCCTAGGGGCTCCGGGATTCAGGTGACCTCACCCCTCCCTGGGAACACTAAAGGATGTGAGCTGTCCCGGGGAGGGAGGTGGACGATGTGTTGTGCAGAGCCTCACAGCTGTGGCCGGGAGGCAGAGCAGGTGTGGTGACTGCGGGGTGTCCTGAAAACCACTCTCTCCCATCTGAAGGGGCATCTGTCAGGGCTATGGTTCAGGCGGGGTGGGCAGAGGGCCACTGCCAGCCGGGTCCCAGACCTTCCTCTGATGGCTGCGAGAATGTTCCTAACCTGGCAGCACAGCCTGCAGCCATGCCTAGAACTGCGTGTGGGTGGAGATGTGTCCTTGACACAGGTCAGTGCTGTTTGAGCACCTGCCTGGGAATTGCTACTACATGTGCCCAGGTCCTGGGTGTGTGGCTGAGCTCAGTAGGGCTGGGCAGAGCCTCATCCCGTTGTCTGACTCTTCTCCTCCAGTGCCACCGCATCCACCGGTCGCTTGCCAGCCAGTTCAAGTACGCCCTGGTGTGGGTGAGTCTGGGCAGGAAGTGGGCCAGGGTCGGGCAACAGCAGGACACTCACGCTCCTCGCCTGGCATCCACTCTGCGGGCTGTGCATGCTGACCCAGACTGGACGCAGGCCTCCCCCGCCAGGATCCGGGGGTGGCTACACCACACACCCCTGGGGAAGCCCTGCCTGGGGCCTGTGGGTCTTGTCAATGCTGGGCCCCCTTTAGACTGGCATTCACACCCCCAACACACGCACGCCTTCCTTCAGTGATCACTCCGTGGCCTTGGCCTTGGTCAGCGCAAAGGCTGAGGTGGCCGCTCTGGCCTGCTCTTTGCCCAGGGCACCAGCACCAAGTACAGCCCGCAGCGGGTGGGCCTGACCCACACCATGGAGCATGAGGATGTCATCCAGATCGTCAAGAAGTAGTGGCGCCTGCTGGGCCTGCCCACCTGCCTGTCTCCCTGGGAGGTGAACCCAGTGGGACACCCCAAAGCCCAAACAGGAAAAATACAAATATATACACCCCAGGGAGGGGTCTCTCAAGTTTGCTGTTTGCAGAAGTTTCTTCAGTAGGCTGATGGTGGAGAGCGTTGGGGCTGAGGAGTGAGGCTGGGGTCCTCTGCCATGACACTGGCCCCCCAGAAGGGGGCTCTGAGTTTGGAACCCTGGGCCTGGGCCCTACCCCATCCCCTTCAGGCCCTGAGTGAGCAGGTTGCCCACCTTCCACCCAGCTAGGGCCTAAGCAGGTTACTTGCTCTGTGCTGGGGCAGGGAGCCCGGCCTGCCTGGGTGTCTGAAGGTGGTAATTAACTGTTGGGGCCCCTTGGCCTCTCAGCTGTCAGCTTCTCTGGCACTCAGGGAGGGGCCTCTCAGGAAAAAAATACCTTCACACCCACACCCACAGGACCACCCCATGGTAGAAACCAGGGTTCAGTGGCTATAAAGGCCCAGCTAACACCTTCCATAGTCCGAGAGGGGTCCTGTAGTGCCACCCTCGCCCAGGGCAGACCCTGTCCAGCACGAAACTCCAGGACCCAGGACCCTCACTGACACCTGGGGTGGGCACTTTGGAGTTCGGTTCTGTTTTCCAAGCGTCTGATCTCTCGGCTCTCTGTTCTGAAATAAAGGATGGAAACAATATCTGTTCAGACTGAGGACAGTTTTGTGAATTTGCTGAACTTGGTTGCCAGGTTGGCTCAGGGGCAGCAATGAGCTTGATGATCAGAGTGGGTGAAACCTGGGCGATGGGGGAGCAGGCCCAAGCCTAGGGTACGAGAGAGATTGTAGGGTCTTCCAGACCACACTGCCCAGGAGGGCTGGCCAGGGGCTGTGTGACACCTCCTGAGGCCAGGCTTAGCTGCCAAGGTGGACAGCATTCCCCAGAAGGCCTTTGTAATTTTTGAGGTGGCAGAGAGGCTCTCCTGTGAGAACAGAATCATCGAGTACACTTCCTGTTGCCTCAGAAGACAGAAGTGGGGGGCCTCAGCATGATGCCAAGGAGCGGGGGCAGGTGTCCACTGAGTCCCTCCTGCATAACAGGGTCTGCACATGGCCATCTCCACAGCAGCCAGTTCTCCAGGATAACAGCTTGCCCTGGACTACAAAGCTTGTAAGTGCACCGCCAGGATTTGAACCCCAGACAGACTTCTGAGCAGTAGGGAAAGCTTCCTGGAAGCAGTGTGCTTTTGAGGGGTGAATGGTTTTGTGGTGCTGCTGGGCACTGGGCCAGCAGGAGGGGTAGAGGGCTCCCCTGGGAGTCCTAGAACTGGGCTGGAGTGGGGAGCAGACCCACTGCTCAGCTCTCCAGACTGGTCTCGGCTCCTCTGTCAGCAGCTCAGGCTCCTTTCCAGAGACAAAACAGGAATAATAGACACCATTAAATATAGAGGAGGCCCCAGGTGGTTGGCGTGGTGGGCTGGGCCTTCCTTCCCCGCAACACTGAGCTACTCTGCTGGATTGGCCAGGCATCTGGGGCCAGCCACAGGACCCCTTTTAGGTGGCATGCAGCCAGGGAGGAGGCCACAGGACTCAGGTAAGAAGACCCTGGTCCTGGGCCACTGGGGTCTGCCACTAGCCCCTGCTCCCCCCAGGTTGCCAGGGGTAGGGGAGAGGGTGCTCATCTCTAAAATGGTCATGAGGGTGCCCATGCAGTACCCCACTTGGTGACAGTGGGACAGGTAAATGCACAGGGGGCTTACATCGGCCCCTGTCCCAACTGCTGTTAGACCTGCCCGTGAGGTCTGAGAGGGTTTCTCCCTGTGTGATGGTCACTGCCGCTTCCTGCCTTATAGGTAGGAAAGGGTCCTGTGTTCATACGGGGACAGATTAGGCCTCTTCTGTTCCCCCAGCTGGCTGGGAAAGGGTGGGCATTGGCAGGCAGTTTGGGCTCAGGGCAGACAGTGTCAGAGGCTCCTGCCCCTGGGTTGCTGTGTTCCTCACTGTGGCAGGTAAGGAACTTGTTTCCTGGGCCTGCTCTGTGTGTCCATGGGTCAGGACATTCTAGGCATCTCTGTGTCGAGTCCTTGGTGTTTTGGATCTGTGGCCAGTGTGGTTATACCATCTATGCTTGCATAAAAGTCAGAGGAACCACATGTAGGGCACACTTAGGTTGGTGTGATCTGGCAGTTCACAGTGCCTTGTGCTAAGGCAGGTGTCCTTGGGACTGGAGAAACCCTGCTAAGAGCCCCAAAGGTCCCTGCACCCCACTGCTTGGGTGAATTCCAAGGGCTGGGCCCCCCACCCACAGCCACCCTGTTCCCATCATTCACCTTCCCTTTTGGTTTGGGGAGGCTATAACCTGGGTGACCTGCAGTCCCTCTGCTCAGACAGTCTGATCATCTTTGTGAAGGTCACACCCTCACTCAGGCCTGTCTTTGGGCTCCAGGGCTGCTCTCCCGGGGAGCCCGGCTGCAGCTGTAGGATTGGTGCAAAGGAGCCTGGAGTGCGAATACTCATCCATGTCTGTCTGTTCGTCTCCATGTCCCTTGCTCTCCTGCATAGATTCCACAGTTCTTCATTTCAGAAACCTCCTTTAGCAAGAAACCCTCAGCTCATCTGTCCTCAAGGTCCCCCTGGCCTGGCCCTGGAGGCTGCTGGGGGACTCGCACCACCAGCGTCTTCCCGCAGCACTGACTTCTTTGGGTGCCCTTCAGCAGCCTTTCTGAACCCACTCTGCCCCTTGAGCCCCAGCTGGGAAACTCCTCAACCTCTCCAAACACCATGCTTGTCTACCCACCATCTACATCCACGATGGAGAGGCCCCCTTCGAGCCGCCACCTCAGGCCCCTCAGACCGCATGGGTGATTCAGCACCCCCCCTCTTGCTTTCCCTTTCTCCTGGATTTGTCCTACTGACTGATTGATTTGTCCTATTGGTATTAGCCTGCTGGGGCTGCCAGAACAAAGAACCATACATGAGGCAACTTAAACACAGAAGTTTATTTCCTCACAGTTCTGGAGGCTGGAGGTCTAAGATCAAGGTGCCAGTAGGGCTGTTTTCTCCTGAGGCCTTTCTGCTTGGCTTGCAGACAGTTTGCAAATCCTCTCCCTGTTACCTCATGCAGCCTTTTCTCTGTATGCCACTCACACTGAAAAAAATCACGAGCCCCTGTGACATGTCATTCCCAGCAGCCACCTCCTGATCATGGCTTAGCTTCCCTAGGTCTGCCTCCACCTCCACACATGGCCCCTGGGCTGCCCTGTCTATAGGTGCTGCAAATCCTCTAGTAATTTTCCTCCCTCGCCTTCCTCACCTATCAGCCCTTTCCAAGTTGCCACTGAAACAGCTCTTTCCAGGTCCTGAGCCACACATTGTTCAACAGCAACCCCTTCTGGCCTTGTGCACATGACCTAGCGGCAGCAGACCCTTTGGCAGCTGTGTGCCTCTTTCCCCTTCGGGTCAAGGGCGCAAATTGGAGACACCCTTCTTGGGGTCACCCTCTCTCAGATGGGCTCATCCCCACTGCTCCTGCCTGTTTCACCTGTCATTTGGGTCTAACTGGCCTCCTTGGCTCAGCACCTGGAATGTCCCACACTGACCCCAAACTCTCTGTGTTCCAGACCAAACCTGTCACATTCCACCCCACCTCATCTCAGAGAATGAGTCACCTGCTCATCCAGCTGCACCAAGCTAACCCTGAGGGTCCCCCAGGCTCCACCCTCATCCCAGCGCCCATGTAGCCCCTCACCGAATGTGTGCCCTGTACTTGTCACAGCTGTCCAGGCCAAGCCTCTGTCCTCTCCCTGCCTTTACTCTGTCCTCTCTCCATCCTCCTCCACACGGTGGCCCAAGAGCTTTTTTCCAGACCACTTTCCAAGAAGCAACAAGAGGCAGCAATTAAGAGCATGGACATGGGCCTGACTGCCTGAGCTCAAATGTAGCGTCAGGCAACTGACTAGACCTCTCTAGGCCTGTTTCCCCATCTGTAGAGCGGCAAGAATAGCAATACCTACTTTCTGAGGTTGTAGTAGAGGGTGAGTACTGTGTGTCTTGGTAGTTCTCGGTACAGGCCCAGGGCTCCTTGCTGTGGGCTGGCTCTCTGCTGAGTGATCTAACTTCTCTCCTTCATCTACAAAATGGGAATAGCAGTTCCCACCTCCCATATTGAGAATCCAGTGAGGTACTATGGGAAAGCATTCAGGACCAAACCTGGTACACAGGAAAACTTGACAATGTTGGTTATAGTATTTTAAAAATGCAAATCTAGTCACAGCACTCCTGACTATTTAAAACCCTGCCATCACTCCCTGCTACTTTAGGGATGGAGATCAAAGTGCCACCCCTGCCTCCATGGTCTCATGGGTCATCTCTCCTGCCGTCCTGGCCATTCCTCCCTGTATATGCCCCACATCACTCCACCCCTCTCACCACGTGGCCTTTCCATGTGCTGTTCCATCTGCCTGGTACACCATTCCCTATTCCATTTGATCAGCACCTCTCATTCTTTATATCTTGGCTCAGGATCACCAACTCAGGAAACGTCCTGGACGTCCACCTGACCTTCACAGCTCTTCTCATGGCTGCAGTTTCCCCGTTGATGTGGCTCTTTGCTTAAAGTCTGTGTCCTCATGATACTGGGAGTTCCACAAAGGCAGAGACCATGCCTGCTTCCACTCAACTCTGTGATCCCCCCTAGTGCCCAGCAAAGAGCCTGGCACATAGTAGGTACCCAAGCAATACTGAGAAATGAATGAGATTTGTTACCTGATACCACCTCTGTGCCTGCTGCAGAAGCTGGGGACTGTGAGATGGGACCCCAAAACCACCAGAAAAAGGGTAGCCTACTTAACTGAGGACACTGTTGCCACAGCCTAGGCACAAGCCTAGGCCCCCGAGACCAGAAAGGTCATGTGAGCAGGCCCTGCTGCCAGCCATCACCATGACCAGCTTCCCAGAGCCAATGGAACAGTGACCCATAATACTGATGGAGGGCATGAGTAATGGCAATGGCAGTTTATTCCAGGTCAGGCATTGTGCTCAGTTCTCCATCTATCTCATGTAATGCTTACTCAGCCCTGAGTAGGAGGTGCTGTTAGGACCCACACTTACTGATGAACAGACCCAAGTGCAGAAGCTGCATGCCTTGCTGTGCTCCGATCCAAGTCGGATGGGACCTGGCCCAGAGCGCTGGGCAGCCCAGCTTGGTGTCCTCCGTGCGCCATGGCCCTCCTCTAGTGGGGTTCACCTCTCTGAGTTTCAGTCTTTTCATCTGGATAAAGGGACTTCGGAGCCCAAAGATGCTCACCAGGGACCCCCAACTTAGGGCAGTCAGGGGTGTAGCTCTAGTAGGTGTCCTCAAGCTCCAACTCCCCCTGCCCGCTCTCCTTGGCTCATTTTTCTCAAATGTTATGTACAGTTGGTGGAGGGTTGGACCCTGTGGTCTCAGGCCCTGACATTCTCCCAGGAGCTCCTCTAAGAGGTTGCTTCCATTCACTGTTTCCAATTATTTTTTTCCCATTTTCACTTTTTCTCTTTATAAATGTTACTTTGTTCCTCAGAATCAGAAATGCATTCACATGGTTCAGAAATCAAACTGATATGGAAAGGTTTACAGCGAGATAAAAATTTTCATCAATTTCTTGTCTTTTCCAATATTTGTACATGTAAATAAAAATAAGTATGAATTATATCCTCCGCCACCCCCTCCACC